TCCTGTTTGCAGTAAATCTCTGCACCGACGCAGCATTTGAAGAGCCACTGTCATGTGCAACCATTTTCTTAGCCCAGGTAAATTACCTGTTGTTGTACATCCAAGCTGATTCTTGTTGTTGTCGTTGACGTCGTCGTTCTTGTTGTTGTCTTTGTTCTTGTTCTTGTTCTTGTTGTTGTTGTTGTTGTTGTTGTTGTGGTTGTCGTTGTCGTCCTGGTTTTTTTTGTTGTTGTTCCTATGTTGCGTCGTCGTCGTCGTCGGCGTCGTCGTCGTCGTCGGCGTCCTCGTCGTCGTCGTCGGCGTCGTCGTCGTCGTCGTCGTCGTCGTTGTTGTTGTTGTTGTTGTTGTTGCAGCCACAGAGCTCGAGACCAAAGAAACGGTGGTTGTTGGTCTCGTTGTCGTCGTCGTCGTCGGCGTCCTCGTCGTCGTCGTTGACGTCGTCGTCGTCGTCGTCGTCGTCGTTGTTGTTGTTGTTGTTGTTGTTGTTGTTGTTGCAGCCACAGAGCTCGAGACCAAAGAAGCGGTGGTTGTTGGTATCGTTGTCGTCGTCGTCGTCGGCGGCGTCGTCGTCGTCGGCGTCCTCGTCGTCGTCGTCGACTGTTGTTGTTGTTGTCGTTGTTGTTGTTGTTGTTGCTGTTGCCCGATGTTGGCCCTATTTGTGGTTGCCGATGTTGGGCCTATGTTGGGCCATCTTGGGGCCATGTTGGGCCCATGTTGGGCCATCTTGGGGCCAGCTTGGGCCTATGTTGGGCCGTCTAGGGCCATCTTGGAGCCATGTTGGGCCTATGTTGGGCCATCTTGGGGCCATCTTGGGCCTATGTTGGCCCTATGTTGGCGCAGGCTTGCCCCTATCTGAGCCTTATGTTGACCCATGTAGCCCACATCTTGGCCGATGTTGGCCCTATGTTGGCACCAAGGCCGTCAAGACGGCCAGTTGTCCGTTCCGGACCCCTGCCGCAGACCCAAAACCATGAAAAACCCATGGTTTTTTAACGTCGCCAAGATGAAACCTGGAGACGGCGAAGGCCACAAAACCCTGTAAAAAACGATGTTTTTTGAACACCACACGCAGAATACACTGTAAATTACAACGATAATCGTATACCGGAATCGACACGGGGTCGACCCGAGGTAAGTACGAGGTGGTCGGCGGCAGGGGGGGCGAGCGTATATAACCTTCGGTTAGCACCGAAGGCCTCCGGCAATGCCACGGGCTGCGGCCCCGGGGCCGGCGCCCGGATTAAGGGGCTACGCCCCCTGCCGCCGACCCCAGGATGTGTTGCCTCGGGCGGTGAGCGGGCCCTTAGGGACGGACCAGGCCTGCGGGCAACGGCCCCCAGTGCCTAACGTTGCTTTCTGAACCTACAAGAAAACTAGCTGTCTTCCAGCCGCCAACAAGGCTCACAAACGGCGCCCTCGCCACAGCGAAACAGCAGGGGCCCTGAGGGACGGAAAGGGGGTCTGCGGGCAACGGCCCCCAGTGCCTAACGTTGCTTTCTGAACCTACAAGAAAACTAGCTGTCTTCCAGCCGCCAAGGAACTCACAAACGGCGCCCTCGCCACAGCGAAACAGCAGGGCCCTGAGGGACGGACCGGGCCTGCGGGCAACGGCCCCCAGTGCCTAACGTTGCTTTCTGAACCTACAAGAAAATTAGCTGTCTTCCAGCCGCCAAGGAACTCACAAACGGCGCCCTCGCCACAGCGAAACAGCAGGGCCCTGAGGGACGGACCGGGCCTGCGGGCAACGGCCCCGAGTGCCTAACGTTGCTTTCTGAACCTACAAGAAAACTAGCTGTCTTCCAGCCGCCAACAAGGCTCGCAAACGGCGCCCTCGCCACAGCGAAACAGCAGGGCCCTGAGGGACGGACCGGGCCTGCCACAGCGAAACAGCAGGGCCCTGAGGGACGGACCGGGCCTGCGGGCAACGGCCCCGAGTGCCTAACGTTGCTTTCTGAACCTACAAGAAAACTAGCTGTCTTCCAGCCGCCAACAAGGCTCGCAAACGGCGCCCTCGCCACAGCGAAACAGCAGGGCCCTGAGGGACGGACCGGGCCTGCGGGCAACGGCCCCCAGTGCCTAACGTTGCTTTCTGAACCTACAAGAAAACTAGCTGTCTTCCAGCCGCCAACAAGGCTCGCAAACGGCGCCCTCGCCACAGCGAAACAGCAGGGCGCCTTGAGGGACGGACCGAGCCTGCGGGCAACGGCCCCCAGTGCCTAACGTTGCTTTCTGAACCTACAAGAAAACTAGCTGTCTTCCAGCCGCCAAGGAACTCACAAACGGCGCCCTCGCCACAGCGAAACAGCAGGGCCCTGAGGGACGGACCGGGCCTGCGGGCAACAGCGCCCAGTGTCTAACGTTGCTTTCTGAACCTACAAGAAAACTAGCTGTCTTCCAGCCGCCAACAAGGCTCACAAACGGCGCCCTCGCCACAGCGAAACAGCTAGCGGTCTTCCAGTCGCCAACACGGCTCACAAACGGCGCCCTCGCCACAGCGAAACAGCAGGGCCCTGAGGGACGGACCAGGTCTGCGGGCAACGGCCCCCAGTGCCTAACGTTGCTTTCTGAACCTACAAGAAAACTAGCTGTCTTCCAGCCGCCAACAAGGCTCACAAACGGCGCCCTCGCCACAGCGAAACAGCAGGGCCCTGAGCGACGGACCGGGCCTGCGGGCAACGGCCCCCAGTGCCTAACGTTGCTTTCTGAACCTACAAGAAAACTAGCTGTCTTCCAGCCACCAACAAGGCTCACAAACGGCGCCCTCGCGACAGCGAAACAGCAGGGCCCTGAAGGACGGACCGAGCCTCCGGGCAACGGCTCCCACTGCCTAACGTTGCTTTCTGAACCTACAAGAAAACAAGCTCTCTTCCAGCCGCCAAGGAACTCACAAACGGCGCCCTCGCGCCACAAGAACGATAAAGAACGGGCTCCCTTCTTCCCGTCACGTCCCTTCGCCCCCATCTCCTCCTATACACCTTCATCCTTCTCCCTGAGGGACGGACCGGGCCTGCGGGCAACGGCCCCGAGTGCCTAACGTTGCTTTCTGAACCTACAAGAAAACTAGCTGTCTTCCAGCCGCCAACAAAGCTCACAAATGGCGCCCTCGCCACAGCGAAACAGCAGGGCCCTGAGGGACGGACCGGGCCTGCGGGCAACGGCCCCCAGTGCCTAACGTTGCTTTCTGAACCTACAAGAAAACTAGCTGTCTTCCAGCCGCCAACAAGGCTCGCAAACGGCGCCCTCGCGACAGCGAAACAGCAGGGCCCTGAGGAACGGACCGAGCCTGCGGGCAACAGCCCCCAGTGCCTAGCGTTGCTTTCTGAACCTACAAGAAAACTAGCTGTCTTCCAGCCGCCAAGGAACTCACAAACGGCGCCCTCGCCACAGCGAAACAGCAGGGCCCTGAGGGATGGACCGAGCCTGCGGGCAACAGCCCCCAGTGCCTAACGTTGCTTTCTGAACCTACAAGAAAACTAGCTGTCTTCCAGCGGCCAAGGAACTCACAAACGGCGCCCTCGCCACAGCGAAACAGCAGGGCCCTGAGGGACGGACCGGGCCTGCGGGCAACAGCCCCCAGTGCCTAACGTTGCTTTCTGAACCTACAAGAAAACTAGCTGTCTTCCAGCCGCCAAGGAACTCACAAACGGCGCCTTCGCCACAGCGAAACAGGAGGGCCCTGAGGGACGGACCGGGCCTGCGGGCAACGGCCCCGAGTGCCTAACGTTGCTTTCTGAACCTACAAGAAAACTAGCTGTCTTCCAGCCGCCAACAAGGCTCACAAACGGCGCCCTCGCCACAGCGAAACAGCAGGGCCCTGAGGGACGGACCGGGCCTGCGGGCAACAGCCCCCAGTGTCTAACGTTGCTTTCTGAAGCTACAAGAAAACTAGCTGTCTTCCAGCCGCCAACAAAGCTCACAAACGGCGCCCTCGCCACAGCGAAACAGCAGGGCCCTGAGGGACGGACCGGGCCTGCGGGCAACGGCCCCGAGTGCCTAACGTTGCTTTCTGAACCTACAAGAAAACTAGCTGTCTTCCAGGACGGACCCAGCCTCCGGGCAACGGCTCCCAAACTAGCTCTCTTCCAGCCGTCAAGGTTCACAAACGGCGCCCTCGCCACAGCAAAACAGCAGGGCCCTGAAGGACGGACCGAGCCTCCGGGCAACGGCTCCCAGTGCCTAACGTTGCTTTCTGAACCTACAAGAAAACTAGCTCTCTTCCAGCTGTCAACGCTCACAAACGGCGCCCTCGCCACAGCAAAACAGCAGGGCCCTGAAGGACGGACCGAGCCTCCGGGCAACGGCTCCCAGTGCCTAACGTTGCCTTCTGAACCTAGAACCTACAAGAAAACTAGCTCTCTTCCAGCCGTCAAGGCTCACAAACGGCGCCTTCGCCACAGCAAAACAGCAGGGCCCTGAAGGACGGACCGAGCCTCCGGGCAACGGCCCCCAGTGCCTAACGTTGCTTTCTGAACCTACAAGAAAACTATAGCTATAGCTCTCTTCCAGCCGTCAAGGCTCACAAACGGCGCCCTCGCCACAGCAAAACAGCAGGGCCCTGAAGGACGGACCGAGCCTCCGGGCAACGGCTCCCACTGCCTAACGTTGCTTTCTGAACCTACAAGAAAACAAGCTCTCTTCCAGCCGTCAAACCTTCAAAAACGCGCCCTTTCCGGCCGTCACAAACATTCAAAAACGGCGCCTTCGCCAGTCTCAAAAAGGACGGTCCTGAAGGACGGGCCGGGCTTGCGGGCGACAGCCCCTAGTCAGTCCTCCTCTAACGCGCTCCCCCTGCTGGCGGCAGGGGTCGGCGGATATAACAAATATCCGTGTGATTCAGTGTGTATGTGTGTGTTTGTGTCGCGCAACGCTCCCACCCATCCACCAACAGTTGATAAGGTAAATAGGAACCACCTTCTAGAAAAGTGACAAGCGGACAGTTGGCAATGGCTTTGTTCAATTTGAGCAATAACAGACTTGTTCTTCAGTCATGTCTCGTTCAGGACTCGAGCCCGATGGGGAGTCTTCTGTGTCCGAGGAATTCTGGGTGCAGGTGGCAGCATGCATGTTTCCAGCTGAAACAGTGTAATTATAATAGTGTCTGAGTGCACCGCAGTTGCTGGAATTGGGTGAAAGTAGGTGAACATGTGCTTGTCGCAGGACTCTCAACCGTGGAGACCGTGGACTGACACCCCCATGGTCCCCCAGCTGGGTGAAAATCAAGAAAGTATCACTTCAGCATGTTTGCTTCCTGTATTCCCGGGCACACCCCATCACACACCCCTCTCCTTTCGGCAAACAAGACCATGAAAATTATTGTCAGGTTGGGCAAGCCCACCACTGATCTGTATATGATGCTTTGGGACTGCAAAATTTATCAGAGTCGTCCAAATCAGTGAAAGCTTGGAATGTGTGTTTGGCTAAGGGCTGGAACCAACGAGACTGGAAGCATCAATTTGAACGTTTGCAACTTAAGTGACCAGACCTTGCCACCTTGGAGCTAGCTCTGCTGATTCTGATTCCTCAGAGCTTAGGTACTCGTGCCCCGAACATTTTCAGCGACACCAATGCCGATGGAATTTATGGCGGAGATGATTCGCATGATCCCTGGCAGTCGCACTGGCCTCTTAAGAAAGCTGAGAGCCAGGGGTTTGCGCTTCAAGAAATTAGGTGGATGAACTTCATGTTATTGCTTGCTATGCTGAGCTCAGACATGCCCAGCCCATCCCAGCCCCATCATCCCAGTGCCAGGATGAAGACCCTTCCTTTTGGGATTCCTGCCCCGGTCTCGTTCACGTAAAATGCATTTGTCCATTGAAAACATCTAAAACGATTAAATCTCACAGCAATTCGCCATGCCTCCAAAGCTAGTGCAGCTCGGCTGAGATGCCAACTACTCCTGCTGGCCGCCGCGCTGCTGCTCGCAAAGGCCCCATCTCCATGGGATTCCAGAGGTATTGAATTAACATGAATTAACTATTGTGTCCATTCATGAACCATTCAATGCCTATTCAATCAATTTCAGTCAATTTCCAATCAATTTCCATAGAACTACGGGAACCAGCAAAAACCAGCTTTGGTGAAGGCGGTGCCCAAGTTGCTGCCATTGTGTCCGCTGCTGCTCGGGCTGCAGACGCTGCACGTGCAACCCTCAGCCATAGGATCTTCAGCCAGCACTTTTCTGTTGCCGCGCTTGGAATGCTTGGGCCTTGATATGCCTCGATATTGCTCTTAATATTTCTTGATGGTCCCAGGAGCTGCAGAGATCAGAATGGAACGTCAATACAAGAAGCAACAGTGTGAGGAGCATTTTTTTTGGCGTTGCAAATTGTGAGAAGTTGTCTTATGAAGATCATTAAGCCTTCAGGAGAGAGCTTCCAAAGCATCCAGGAACCCGTATGTGGGGATCTTACTGTCATGCTTGTACAACGATATCACCACAATCCTCTGCAATGTGTTGGCAAGAGTAGCTGCAAGCTTGTCAGGCTCCACGTGGGATGGGTTTGCTTGTGAGCTCTACTGGTGATGTTGGCTCCCTAGAGCGCACTTAGCGTAGCTGCTGCTGCCGCAATTGAAAGTCAACCTCATTGTTGCTTCGTGCATGTGAATATGAGGACAGGAAGAATTATTGTGGACGGCTAGCATTTCATAGATAGGATGAGGCAAATGATATGCCACACTGCATCATTTGCACGATTCTATGCTATTGCAATATTATATTGGAGTATTGTTTTCTCAAAGCTTTGCTTTGCTGCTCGTCTACTAGCGCTAGCGTTAAGTCGTATCAGCTCGTAAAAGTCGTATCGGGAGGCCGTGCGCCTGGAAAAAGTTCAATTTTGGCATCACCACAACTTTTAGTAATTGAACGATTCTTCGTTTTGGGGCCGTGCGCCTGGAAAAAGTTCATTTTTTCTTTATTGCGTTGATTTTTAAAAATATATTTGATCATTCAAACGCTGGTTGCTGCTTGCCTGCTGCTTGCCTGCTGCTTGCCCGCTGCTTGCCTGCTGCTTGCCTGCTGCTTCCCTGCTTGCCTGCTACTTGCTGCTGCTTGCTGCTGCTTACCTGTTGCTGCTTACCTGTTGCTGCTCACCTGCTGCTCACCTGCTGCTCACCTGCTGCTCACCTGCTCCTTGCCTGCTGCTTGCTGCTCCATGCTGCTGCTTGCTGCTACTTGTTCCTGCTTACCTGCTGCTGCTCACCTGCTGCTCACCTGCCGCTCATCTACTGCCTGCCTGTTGTTGCTGCTCCTTGCTGCTCCTTGCTGCTGCTTCTGCTTGCTGCTGCTTGCTGCTGCTTGCTTCTGCTTGCTGCTGCTTGCTGCTGCTTGCTTCTGCTTGCTGCTGCTTGCTGCTTGCTGCTGCTTGCTGCTGCTGCTGCTTGCTGCTGCTGCTTGCTGCTGCTGCTTGCTGCTGCTAGCTGCTGCTGCTTGCTGCTGCTGCTTCTTGCTGCTGCTGCTTCTTGCCTGCTGCTGCTTGCTGCTTGCTGCTTGCTGCTTGCTGCTGCTGCTTGCTGCTGCTAGCTGCTGCTGCTTGCTGCTGCTGCTTCTTGCTGCTGCTGCTTGCCTGCTGCTTGCTTGCTGCTTGCTGCTTCTTGGCTGCTGCTGCTTGCTGCTTGCTGCTTGCTGCTTGCTGCTTGCTTGCTTGCTGCTTGCGTGCTTGCGTGCTTGCTTTCCTGCCTGCCTGCTTGCTTGCTTGATGCTTGCCTGCTGCTTGCTTGCTGCTGCTTCTTGTCTGCTGCTTCTTGTCTGCTGCTGCTGCCTCCTGCTGCTGCTGCTGCTGCTGCTGCTTCCGCCTGCTGCTGCTTCCTCCTCCTGCGCTTCCTTCTGTTGCTGCTGCTGCTGCTGCTTCCTCCTCCTGCTGCTGCTGCTGCTGCTTCCTGCTGCTGCTGCTGCTGCTGCTGCTTCCTCCTGCTGCTGCTGCTGCTGCTGCTGCCGCTCGTGCAAACATTTTCCCGAAACAGAAAATAACAGTCTCGGTCGCCTTGTTTGGCGCTGACCGGAGGTACGGGCGGGAGACACCAGCAGAGAGAGGGAATGTTTCTGGCTGGTTGGAATGAAACATTGCGGTCGCATAGCGCGGTTGTGTCGCTGTGCTCACCATCTACGCCATCTCGCACCATCTCGCAAGACGGCGCAGACAGCAAGACGGCGCAAGACGGAACAGACACAACAGACGGCGTAGACGGAGCACCAGCAAAACCTGCCACGCTTTCCGCCCGCAATGGAATGAAGGTTTTTTCCAATTCGTAATTCCTGGGTGGATAGGACAACAAATTTCTTGAGAGCTGTCCACGACATTGATGCACATCGCGCCAGCCATAGATTTGGTTGCGGAAAACAAGGTACCCCCATATCCTTATATCATCCTAGATCATAGCCCTGCCAATAGGATTTGCTACAGCTAACCCACTTGCATTGCAAGAATTTTGAGGCTGTACCAATCGGGGTTTGATTTGGTCACGCGACGCAGGACATCAATATAATATATTCAAATCCAATAGGATTAGCTGCCGAGAATTTGTTTGTATTAACTTGTGCCCTTCAAAATCATCGCTGTGCGCAATGCTTCGGCTACTTTTAACTACATCTCCAAGTATGGATGAAACAGGCTGTGCCATGGTGATTCTTCTTCCCTGATGTGACTTTCCACTACCTGATGTGACTTCTCCGTATCGCCGCCGTGCCATGGGGATGATGTGACTTTTCCCGCCTGATGTGACTTAAGTACGGTGCTTGTAGCATATATACACACAATCACACACCCACACATTGAATCCGTATGTATACATATAATTTAATTATAACACACACACACACGCATATATATATATGATTATATATATAATATATATATATATATATATATATGTATGTACGTATGTATTGCACATGCATAATTCAACCATTCAGTTTTCCCGAATGCGTAGCAAAGGTCCCCATTTCACTCTGGGGGTGGAGGGTGTGTTCGCTCGACGTTGCGTTTACGACTGCAACCGTTCGCAACTGTTTGCAACCGTTCGCAACCGTTTGCAACCGTTCGCAACCGTTCGCAACCGTTCGCGCGAGGTCGCTATGGCCGTGCCTATATGGTAAGTTCTGCAACAGGGGTCACTTTTGGAGGTTTCACTTTCACATGTCGCGTAGCCTCGTTTCGCGTTGCAGGCGTGGCACTTCATGACATTCAGACGTGTTTCGTAACGTGTCTAAAGTCGTTGTGTGTGGCAGGCGCAATACTTTTGCGCCGTTTTCAGAAGATGAGTTCCAGTTTTCGTGGCAGGCGCAGCACTCTGGACGTGACCGTCTTCATTTTGCGTGGCAGGCGCAGCACTTTAGAGGAGTCGTGTTGTGATTTTGTGAATCGCATTGTCAGGGCTGCCTCATGTGGTGACAACGTGCAAATTCCGTGGCAGGTGTGGCATTTTGTGAGATGTGCTGAAAATTGATGGAAGCCTGGCACGAAACATGAATCTTGAGGTTGCAAATTTTCACGTTCTAGGGAAAACTCGTAGGAAAACGCCGATTTTGAAGCTATAAAGTGTGAAAATCGGAGGAAGTCTCGCACGAAATGCTCGTTTTGATGCTCCAACATGTCTCGTCTCCAGTCTCTGGTTTTCCTTGTGGCCTCGCCGTGTCTATGGGGGAAGCTGCAAAACCTACAGTATCCTGTTTCAAGGTTTCAAAGCCAGTTGTAACGTGGTTTTGCGTGACAGGCGTGGCAGTTCGTGACATTCTCATGTGTCTGCAAACGTGTCGAAAGTCATTTTGTGTGGCAGGCGTTTGCGTACTCTACCCTCTACACTCCACACACTACACTCCACACTCCACACACCAGACTCCCCACTTTACATTTTTGCATTTTACACTTTACACTTTACACTTTGCACTCCGCACTACACTTTACACTCCACACTTTACACTTCACACTCCACATTTTACATCACTTTACATCACTTTACATCACTTTACATCACTTTACATCACTTTACATCACTTTACATCACTTTACATCACTTTACATCACTTTACATCACTTTACATCACTTTACATCACTTTACATCAATTTACATCACTTTACATCACTTTACATCAATTTACATCAATTTACATCACTTTACATCACTTTACATCACTTTGCATCACTTTACACTTTACACTCCACACTTAACACTCCACACTTTACACTCTACACTTCGCACTTCACACTTTACACTTCACACTCACACTTTACACTTTACACTCCACACTCTACACTCCACACTTCAGACTCCACACTCTACACTTTACACTCCACACTTTGCACTTCACACTTTACACTCTACACTCCACACTCCACACTTTACACTCCACACTTTACACTCCACACTCCGCACTTCACACTCCGCACTTTACACTCGACGCTCCACACTTTACACTTCACACTTCACACTCCACACTTTTTGATCCACACTTTACACTCCACACTCTACACTCCACAGTTTACACTTTACACTCCACACTCGACACTTTGCACTCCACCCTCTTCCGCATTCCACGGTCTAGTGGTACGGTAACAGGGGAAACAGGTACAAGACTGTTTAAATAACTTGTTTCACAAAAGTGTTAAACGTGACTGCATTCGGGTTCGTTGGCCTGGTTTTTCCTGACCGATACATGACCCTTTTACTCCCTCTTGGCATGTCGATTGGTGACTGGTGCGCCGTTCAGCTGACAAGAAGGGAATCCAACTTTGCAGTTCCCTCCCTTGCTCGGTTCAGTGATACTGAAGGCCCAGCAGCTTCTACCAGATGGCCAACTTCCAATTGGTGCCAACACTGCAAAAGGCCATGGCAAAGGCACTGGCAAAGGCACAAGCTGCATCCATTTACTGGGCCTTTTCCGTGCCCACTGTCCACCCATGAAATTTGTTCTAAGATGTCTTGTGCTGGAGATTGCTAGAGGCAAGGGCCCAAGAAAAAGAGGTGGAAGGAACCGCAACCGTGGAAATCAGAAGTCCTTGGACGAGGAGCAGATTCCGATGAGCTTTCCGGCTTGCAAATTACAAATAATGCATGCTTCATATTCTTTGGTGGAAGCCCAACATAAGTTTCGGGTTCTGCCTCATTCACTGATTTGGCTGGCCTTCTTGCAGGATGAGGCTGATAATTTGCAATGAAGCCCGGGCCAAGATGAATCCCTGATTGGGTTTCCACAGGCGTTTGCTGGGCTGCATGCTGTAGGTGAAACTCTGTGCTTGACCAACGGTTGGCCAATATATGCGTTGTCCTTTTTGTTGATTTTGTTGGGAGAATCCAACTCTTTGTGCTAGCGTCAAGTGTTAAGTAGGTAACACGTACCCATAGACATATGGACGGACGCAGATGAATGAGTAGATACTGTTTATACTAATAAAGATGAACAAAACATAATAAAGCACATACTTATGCCGAACACACACACACACATGTCACCAAAAAGAAAAATATACCAGGACCCTCGGCCCAACCCGGGAAAGGCGCTTTTTTTTTGACAGACACTTTTCCTGATGTAAGGTCATAAATTGTTGTCCGGTACAGGAATCCCGGTGTCGAGTCCGGAATCCTGGTTCTCCTGGTTTGGCACTGGTTCTACCCGTCTTTTTTTGGTATGCCCCATTTTTCGGCACTCAATCAACAGATATCTTGGCAAGCTGCGCTCCTTGGAAGTGCGGTGTGGGGCACATCTTTTGCCATGATCTGGCAGCTCCGTGCTTGTGGCGTCCAATGCAATTGCATGCAAGGATCCCGTTGGACATCTGCAACATCATCGCGGTGAGTTTTGAACTGGACATGGTGCTGCTGCTGCTTATCAGTTTTTGTGGTGTTTACGCCGTTGGTAGACGCTGCTGCAATGGCTTCCAGCCCGCCTTCTGCTGGCAAGCTTCGTTTGGAGCTTCAGCCGGCCGGTGGGATGGTGTTATCTTTTTCCGGAATGGCCGGCTTTTAGCAAGAAAATTTTCAGGAATTACAAAAGCTTCCCCGGGAACAACTTTCAAAAGAAAACTTGAAACTAAGTTTATTTCGCTGAGGCTTTGTCTTGTGAATACAAGGGCGTATTTTGTCCATGGTTTGTCTCTGTCCCTACACAGAGCTCTTTGGATTTCGCATCCCGCGCTTGCTGAGCCAAGTTTTGCCTTGTGCCCGGATGTGAGCTGCTGTGCTGGTCGTTTGCTTTTCCAGTCAGTTGGCGGCCGGTGCCAGGTGGAAAAGGTTTTCCAGTGATGTTGCCGGAACAATGGAAGGAAGAAAACAATTGCATGATATCATTTTGGAAAGTTAAACAACCAAACAGAGACAAAACAGAACCAATAAACAGATCGCAGAAACAGATCGCAAAAACAAAAAAACACAAACAAAAAAAGCAAAACGCAAAAAGAAAAAGAAAAATAACAAGAAAAAGAAACAGAAAAAGAGAAAGAAAAAAAAACACCACCACCACCACCACCACCACCACAACAACAACAACAACAACAACAACCACAACCACAACCACAACAACCACAACAACAACCACCACGACCAACAACAACCAACAACAACCAACAACAACCAACAACAACCAACAACAACCAAAAACAACCAACAAGAACCGAACCAACTATCCATGAAATTCCTGCATAAGATTTCCGGTCCGTCTCCGCGAATTTCCGGGTTTAGTCCGCGAATCTCCGTCTTCAGTCCAGTGCCCCTATTTTCTCCGGGTACCCTTTGGGGACATTATTTTTCACATTCTTAGCAAGTTAAAATAATCTTAAGTGCCAATGATTAATTACATTGGTACCTTTCTTTAAAGTAAAGCCAGAGAAATTTGCCCCAAGGCAGTGGTAATTCTTCAAGGTCATCATCAATGGCTGCTTGCCCGGCTATGTGAAGTGGGTGGCCTGGCGATCGTGCAGACTTGCTGGCAGGAATCGCTAATGTGCGACTCTCGCAAGAGTTGCGAGCACTGGTGAGTAGTGTATTTGTTGGCAGCAGACTAAACAGATATGGCGCGCGGCTGTGTTATGATCCTGGGAGCAATTGGCAGTATATTTCACAGCATCGCGTCCCCGAGTATGAAAATCGAAGGCTGAAGACTAAGGCACTTGGTTTTCCGAGACTTGTTTCTATAGGAACCATGATGAAACAAAGCGGCTTAGCTTCAAACCTTTGCGTTTCAGATTCGTTCAAATGCGGACCTTCAAAATGTAGACGAAAAACAAACACATCACAAAATACAAGGTTTCGGCTTTGGTCACAGAAATCTTGCTCGGTGCAGGAATCCTGGGGGCAGTGCAGGAATCCTGGGTGCAGTGCAGGAATCCCGGGGGCAAGTTAACAAACCCCCGGATTTCTGCAAATCCTGGGCTGAGGCCCCAGATTCTTGTGTTTTGAGGGTCCTATACATGTGCTGACAAATAGGTAGGGCAGAGGATCAAATAAGACAAGGTGACAGGGCACAACATACCGCGCCAGGTCTGAGATTTAACCCAGATGCATTTTTTTGGAGAGGAGGGCTAGTCACACCCTTGGGCCCTTAGATGCCCAGGCAAGGCATCTTCAGGCTCCTTCACTGGGAGATACGGGGTGTAATTGAGACATATGTATGTATGTATATAGGATATATAGATATGAAATCACGAAAGCTAGCGTCAGCTAGCTGGAGTCTTCTTGCTTTAGCAAGTATTCCGGGGGCCGCTCAAGGACATCACGTGATTTTTCACGTGAAAGGGGGGACCCCCCCCCCCCCCCCCCCCCCCCCCCCCCCCCCCCCCCCCCCCACCATCATCATCATCATCATCATCATCGTCATCGTCATCGTCATCGTCATCGTCATCGTCCTCGCCATCGTCCTCGCCATCGTCCTCGTCATCATCATCATCATCATCATCGTCATCGTCATCGTCATCGTCATCATCATCATCATCGTCATCATCATAATCATCATCATCATCATCATCATCGCCACCACCACCATCAGCACCATCGTCATCATCATCGTCATCATCATCGTCATCGTCCTCGCCATCGTCCTCGTCATCATCATCATCATCATCATCCTCATCATCATCATCATCATCGTCCTCGTCATCGTTATCGTCATCGTCATCATCATCATCATCATCCATCATTCATCATTCATCATTCATCATTCATCATTCACCATTCATCATTCATTCATCATCATCATCATCATCATCATCGTTATTCAATTACAATTTATCATTATTGGCAATTATTGGCATTATCACGAAAGCTAGCGTCAGCTCGCTAGAGTCTTCTTGCTTTAGCAAGTATTCCGGGGCTCCCCAAGGACATCACGTGATTTTTCACGCGTAAGGCCCCCCCCCTGCCCCCTTCCCCATATATATCATTCATTGTTATATATCATATATCATATATCATATATCATTGTTGCATCCTCGTTGGGACGAACAATGCCGCGACACGATGATGACAGTCCCTCCGCAACTCACCTCTTCCCTTCCTTCTTTCTCCTACCCCGCTAGCTTTCGTCATCCACCCCCGGCCTCAAGTATATTTTGATATGAATATATATGATGTAATCATATGATGCAAGATTTTGCAAAATGGTAGTTTAGCACTGGTATGGGGTTCCGTGGCACGTGCTGGGCCACAGCATTGGAGTTAGTTCACTTTGCAAAGTGACAAGCTCGTCTATATCAACATGAATATCATGAACATGTCTGAACATCATGGACAATTTTTGTGCACATTTCGCAAATTTGGGAGGCCCAAATGTATTGACAGAGAGGAGTTTTCCGCTTCTTGATTTTGGGAGAGACTGCTGCAAAACCCTGGAAACCAGGATTTGATCCTTTGGGTTGCCAATTGCAACCCACAACCTGTACTCCCCTTGCTGTTGCATTGGCTCGGATGCGAAGGTGGAATTCCGAGCATTGCCCTGAAGGCTGATGCAGGCGCCGCAGACCTTGTGATTCTATTTTGCATGTTCCGGATGATGGGTTCCGTTTTTGGGGGACGCCTCCTTTCTTGCATCTTTTTGAGCAATGTTGCGTTGTTCTATCCGCTAGCCCAAAGTGGTCCCATGGCAGCCCGAAAAAAATATTGGGCAGTCGCCCTTCTGCGACCTTGATGTCTTGAAATAAATACGTTTCCCACCAAATGCGCTGCAGTGAGGTTTCTGTGAGCAAAGTGTTGCTGACGAGCTGCAGATTTTGAGCCAGTTTCCGCGCATGATCAGGTATACAGTTGCATGAAATGCTTACTCATGCTTACTCCAATTCTCCACTCACAGTAGGAAAAAATGTTTTCATCCGTAGCTGGATGAACTTCATGAATTGCGAATGACAAAGTCATTTGCCCCAATTTAAACTAGATAGGTCTGTTTGGCTTTCGTGCACCTCGATCGAACGCCAAAAACACACACAAGACAGCTGCGCAGATTTGCCGGGCAGTGTTTGGTTCTCTCGATTTCGCAGGGCCACTGCCAGGAAATACAACAATTTGATACAATTTGTCGCTTGAGAAAAAAACCATAAACAACACCTGCGACCAGGTGTTGTCGGGGTCAAGGTGTATCTATGGCTCCAGATTGGGCTGTTAGCAGGGTGATATACATTGAAATTACCGTAGATATACCATGATATATTCAAGTGGGTGACTGAGGAGGGTCTCGTCACAGATGGTTTTGGATGATTTTATGGAATATTTTGGATTGATTTGGGATAAATTGGACTTCTGACTTCAGCACATGGCATCAAATTCTGCATCAGGCCATGACCAATAGACACCAATCACATAATTTCTTCTGTTGCCATCGTTTTATGTTTTTTTGACAGAAACGATACAGACATTCAGGTTATACTTATATGGCGGTTTGGGTTGGTGGTTTGGAAGTCTGGGAAATCAGAGTTATGTGCAAAATAGATTTGAAAAATGTGTTTTGGTTTTGTGTGTTTTGTATTCGTTTTATTTTTTGTTTAACTAATCTAAATCTAAATCTAACCTAATCCTAATCCCTAATCCCTAATCCTAATCCCTAATCCTAATCCTTAATCCTAATCCCTAATCCTAATCCCTAATCCTAATCCCTAATCCTAATCCCTAATCCTAATCCCTAATCCTAATCCCTAATCCTAATCCCTAATCCTAATCCCTAATCCTAATCCCTAATTCTAATCCCTAATTCTAATCCCTAATTCTAATCCCTAATTCTAATCCCTAATCCTAATCCCTAATCCTAATCCCTAATCCTAATCCCTAATCCTAATCCCTAATCCTAATCCCTAATCCTAATCCTAATCCCTAATCCCTAATCCTAATCCCTAATCCTAATCCCTAATCCTAATCCCTAATCCTAATCCTAATCCCTAATCCTAATCCCTAATCCCTAATCCTAATCCCTAATCCCTAATCCTAATCCCTAATCCTAATCCCTAATCCCTAATCCTAATCCCTAATCCCTAATCCTAATCCCTAATCCTAATCCCTAATCCCTAATCCTAATCCCAATCCCTAATCCTAATCCCAATCCCTAATTCTAATCCCTAATCCTAATCCCAAATCCTAATCCCTAATCCCTAATCCTAATCCCTAATCCTAATCCCTAATCCTAATCCCTAATCCTAATCCCTAATCCCTAATCCTAACCCCTAATCCTAATCCCTAATCCTAATCCTAATCCCTAATCCTAATCCCTAATCCTAATCCCTAATCCCTAATCCTAACCCCTAATCCTAATCCCTAATCCTAATCCCTAATCCTAATCCCTAATCCTAATCCCTAATCCTAACCCCTAATCCTAATCCCTAATCCTAACCCCTAATCCTAATCCTTAATTCTAATCCCTAATTCTAATCCCTAATTCTAATCCCTAATTCTAATCCCTAATTCTAATCCCTAATTCTAATCCCTAATTCTAATCCCTAATTCTAATCCCTGATTCTAATCCCTAATTCTAATCCCCAATTCTAAATCCTAATTCTAAATCCTAATTCTAAATCCTAATTCTAAATCCTAGTTCTAAATCCTAGTTCTAAATCGTAGTTCTAAATCCTAGTTCTAAATCCTAATGCTAAATCCTAATTCTAAATCCTAATTCTAAATCCTAAATCCTAATTCTAAATCCTAATTCTAAATCCTAATTCTAAATCCTAATTCTAAATCCTTATTCTAAATCCTAATTCTAAATCCTAATTCTAAATCCTAATTCTAAATCCTAATTCTAAATCCTAATTCTAAATCCTAATTCTAAATCCTAATTCTAAATCCTAATTCTAAATCCTAATTCAAAATCCTAATTCAAAATCCTAATTCAAAATCCTAATTCAAAATCCTAGTTCAAAATCCTAGTTCTAAATCCTAATTCTAAATCCTAATTCTAAATCCTTTTTCTAAATCCTTATTCTAAATCCTTATTCTAAATACGAATGCGTAAATGGCCTTGCATTGCGTAAAGTGACCGAATCTAAATCCTAAGGTCTAAAAGCTAAGTCTAAATCCGTAAGGCGAAGCCATTCGTGAATCCTGAATTCCTACCGAAATTCTAAATCCTAATTCTAAATCCTAATTCTAAATCCTAATTTTAAATTCTAATTGATAAAAAAACTAAATCCTAATTCTAAATCCTAATTCTAAATCCTAATTCTAAATCCTAAATCTAAATCCTAATTCTAAATCCTAATTCTAAATCCTAAATCTAAATCCTAAATCTAAATCCTAAATCTGAATCCTAAATCTAAACTAAATCTTAATCTTAAATCTAAATCTAAACCTAATCTAATCTAATCTAATCTAATCTAATCTATCTTTCTAAGTATCTGTCTATCTGTTTGTTTGTCTGTCTGTCTGTCTATCTATTTACTTATCTAATATATCATATCCAATATATCTATTTGTTTGTCTGTCTATATATCTATCTATCTATCTATCTATCAATCTATCAATCTATCAATCTATCAACCAATCTCATATATCTACATAATCTATCTATCTATTTATTTGTTTGTCTATTTGTCTATCAAACTAGTCTAATCTTCTCTGATCTTATCTAATCTAATCTAAGCTAATCTAATCCAACCTCTCTAATCTTTCAAGTCTGTCTATTAATCTATCTAATCTATCCAATCCACCTAGTCTACCTTTTCTATCTGATCTATCTAATATGCCTACTCTATCCAAGTGACCTTACCTATCTATTCTATCTAAATAATCTACATGAAAGCAAAGCAGAGAAAAAAAAACAGTTTCTCTTGAAACAAATTCCATTGCGGTCCTATCCTGTACAGTACTCTGACTGATGCAGGTTTCATGGAGTTTCCATGGAGCTTCCATGCAGGTTTCATGTTGGTTACATGCTGGGTTTGCTGATTTAGCTTACTGGTGTGTAACCTCCATGAGAACTCCCTCGAACCTGCATGGAATCTGCATGGAACCTCCATGGAACCTGCATCAGGCAGAGTGCATGGTAAAACCAACAAGTGTAGATAGAGGCATCACCTCCATAACGCACATGGAAACTGCATGAAATCTACATCAATTCTCCATGGAACCTGCATGGAACCTCCATGAAAACTGCATCAGTTAGAAGGCGCCATGCAACCATCACGTTTAGACACAAGAAACAACGGAACCTACATGAAACCTCCATGAAACCTACATCAATTCTCCATGGAACCTGCATGGATACTCCATCAAAGAAGCGCCATACAAGCACCAGGTGTAGATACAGGGAACAGAGACTTTTTTTTTAGTGGACACTACGTGGAAACCATCAGACGCTTTGACGCAAATTGATCGCAAATCGATCGTAAATCGATCGTAAACTGATCGTTAAAAAACGCACAAAAACTGTCATAGCATCTGTGCATTTTGATGTCGTTTTCACTAGGTCATCTGTCTTTGTTGATGTCCCTTTTTGTTTCTGCACTAGAAAAGTCAATTTCTTCCAGAGTTTCTATTTATCCTGAGTGTTCACTGCTTGGTGGTTTCGATTTTGGCAAGGTTTCAAATGTGAATTTTTGTTTGATGTCATTTTGATGGAGTTTTATGTCTGTCTCGGTGTCAACTTGATGGAGGTTCCTAACATATAATATTGCAAACTAAGTTAATTAAAAGACGAAACCACCAAGAGAAATGAACTCACTTATGTCATTTTGGATTCTATGATCACCAAACCATATGAATATATGAAGTGGCAAGTGCCGTTTTCTACAGGCCTTAGGCTCTTGTCGATGTCATATTGATGTTGTTTTATGGCCTTCTTATTCGTTTTTAGGCCGATGTCAAATCGAGCGACAAAGGATCGCAAAATGATCGCAAAACAACGTCGAAATCCTACATCAAAATGACACATTACAAAGTCCACACTTGAAACCCTGGCCTTGCCAACATCAAAACCGCCAAGCAACGAACACTCAGGATAAATAGAAATTCTGGAAGAATTTGACTTTTCCAGTACAGAAACCTCAGCAAAGACAGATGGCCTAGTGAAAACGACATCAACACGCACAGATGCTACAACAGTTTTTGTGAGATCAATTTAGTTACGATCGATTTGCGATCGATTTGCATCAAAGCGTCTGATGGTTTCCATGTAGTTTCCATTAAAAAAACTCGAACATGTTCCCTGTATCTACACCTGATGATTGTATGGCGTCTTCCTTGATGGAGTATCCACGCAGGTTCCATGGAGAATTGATGTAGGTTTCATGGAGGTTTCATGTAGGTAACCGTTGTTTCTTGTGTCTAAACGTGATGGTTGCATGGCGCCTTCTAACTGATGCAGTTTTCATGGAGGTTCCATGCAGGTTCCATGGAGAATTGATGTAGATTTCATGCAGTTTCCATGTGCGTTATGGAGGTGGTGCCTCTATCTACACTTGTTGGTTTTACCATGCACTCTGCCTGATGCAGGTTCCATGGAGGTTCCATGCAGATTCCATGCAGGTTCCAGGGAGTTGTCATGGAGGTTACCCACCAGTAAGCTAAATTTGCAAACCCAGCATGTAACCAACATGAAACCTGCATGGAAGCTCCATGGAAAATCCATGAAACCTGCATCAGTCAGAGTACAGGATAGGACCACACGGTTTCAAGAAACTGTCTTTCCCCCATTTCAACAATAAATAGACAAGTACAGAAAAATGCACTAGAATTCAATAATCAATTAAACAATCACGTGAAATTATTGGACATTAAATAAGTGTACATTTTCCGAGATACAAGATGAATATCAATTCAAAAACAAACCTAATCTGGTAGCAATCATTGTTGTTTTAAATGTGTTTTCTTTATTTTCAACGATTTCATTGTTTGCAGGGTTTGATATTTTTTGTTTTTTCTAAGTTTACAAAACCATCAATTCCCAGACTTCCAAACCACCAACCCAAACCACCACGTAAGCACAAGTTGAGACATGC